ACAAAGAGATGTTTGAATTAATTTATAAATATTCGTATTTCATTAAAATAAGTCAAAGAATACAAAATAAGCAATAGTTTTTACAAAGGTGAAAAAGTAAGAAGTCTAGGGACGGAGATCGTTTTGAAAAATTTTACCATAGGTAGCCCTTGTCCTGATTACAACGATATAAATTATTTCTTGCGGTTGCTCTTAGACACTTGTATTTAATCATGATTTTTTTAAATTCACTAGAGAAATATGTGTATAATTTTAATGTAGATTAGTAGTTGTAAAAACTCTTTTTAGGGATTTAGGCGTTTACATTTTCAGAATCGCTCTGCCGTCATTTGACCCTAACACCATAAAGCGGCTATATCTTCAAGAGTAGTTGAGATTTCTACTGACATATTAATCTAGTCTATAGCTTTCAAATGCATAAAACTTACTTGAGGCCGAACTAGCGATAAATACATTTATATCCCTCTACGATTTAATCCTATTTGTAATTAAGGGGACCCCCCCCCCCCTGTTCTCGGTGTCAAAAAATTTTATTTATTTTTTCGAATCTATACTATTTGAAAAATGTCCTTACAAAATTTCAAGTGAAAATCTCAAGAACTCTTGAAGATATAGTCGATTTATTGTGTCAGCATCAAGTGACGGCAAGAGTGACTCTCAAACTTTAAACGCATTTTTCTCGAATCAATATGGCGGGCACGATAACTCAAAAACTAATAACCCAATCGATTTCAAATTTTGGGACGTTTCTCTGTGAGTTTATAGCTATCGTATGAACTAGGATAAAGTCAATCGATAAAGATCTTCCTTATTTTTTAACTTGGTTTATGTATTTCAGTGATTGTCTCATTGATTATTTTTTTTTCTTTGAATCGATTACAAGTTCAGTCCATAAACGGTTGGGATTTATAATTTCAGATTATTCAATGTACAATTCGTTCCGGATGCTGAAACATCTGCTAAAATATAGATTAAGCTTTCATGTTGTAATCTTAATTCCATTTGACATCTGAAAATTTGTATTTCTTATGACCCTTGGTTTGACCCGTTTTTTAATGAAATACCATTTCGTGTTATCTGGTAATATTGCTTGACTATATTTTTTGATGTCATAAATCTATCTCGGCATTTGACACAATTTAAAAATAACAATGCGTTGATTGAGTGTGGTGTCATCATTCTTATCAACGTGTGTGCTATATATTGTGTATATGTATATTTATAAAAATATGTATATTTATATTTATTCGTACATACTTTTGGTATTTTTGTTGTTGAACAAAATTTCCAATTTTATGCGTAAATGTCGTCCATTCATTCTACAAAATGCTAGAATCTTTATCAATACCATTAAAAGACACACCCATCAGAGAGATCTCTCAACTTTTGCGTGGAATGTATATAGAGGATTTGTTTTCCCGAAATGTGAAATATTGGTTTTCAAACGTCTAACTAGATAGTTCGATAAAGGTAGACTTGATAAAGGCTTACAAGACCTAAGTAATGTGAAAAATGATGAAGTCATAAAATTCAAATAAAGCAAGTAAAAAAATGTCAGTTGGTGTTGCCGACAGATATATACCCTCGGAAGATGTCGACCATTTGTGTGGGAGATACCAGAAGGAGTTGTGCAATGGGTCTTCGGACTTGATCTGGTCTTGGTAAAGATAACACGTTGTGAAAAGCTTGGTTCAAATATGACATTCCATTCGCCTGATATTGGATTTATAAAATGTTCAAATTTTGACCCTTTGTGGGGGTGGTACCACATGGAGTGGACCAATGTGTCCCATCTTCAATCGTGATCAAGGCTTGACAAATATAATAGGTTGTACCAAGTTTAGTTAAAATCGGATAGTCAGTTTGCATGTTATTATAAAATGAATTTTTAGCACAATTTTGACCATTTTGTAGAAAAGTTACCGGGAGGATAACCCCAGGACCCCAGTTTGGAAGAAATATTAAGATGTGCAAAGTTTGGTTGAAATAGGATGACAGACAGACGGACAACGGACGGACGGACATGTGTAAATCTGAAACAAATTTGGTCCAAAGAAACATGAGGTCTAAAACCAATATTTCGATGAGGTACATTTTCACCTTATCTAAGTGTATATACCCTCATTAGTCATAAGGCTGAGGATATAAAAAGCCAATCAAGTAGCAAATGATCAGCAGAGTAGACATGATCTATAACTCGCCTATGTGTCGAGCATGTGCTCTGTTCCTCAAGCCTGGAAAGTAGGTCGAGTGGCTAGGATGTCAACAGAGGTTAATTGTACAGACAGTTATAGTGGTTCTTGACCTATCAAAGGCATGGTTGATGAAATACCACCAATGCTAATAAAGCAATATGTCTGTCGATTGATACAATCTAGACTCCATTGATACATTTGATAGACAAATTTTGATACATCATCATTATAGCTGTTACAAATTATCTACATATATACACAAATTCAAATACCCCTTCCCAGTGACGGGACACCATTTAATTAATTGAAATTATCTAAAGTAATTAGCAAACCCCCTCGCCGCCAAAAAAGATAAGATAACACAAATTACTTGGTCAAATATAGCACATATTGATAAAATTTGTAAACAATATCAGTGTCGGTGTAAAAAACGAACAGATTGAAGATAGACAGAAAACACATATTAAAATATATTTGATTTAATAAAAAAAATACGTCTAAAAGCCGACAGGCAACAGTCAGCGGCCACAAATGTGAAAAGAAAAACAAATCTATTGTTTGTATCACATGCCTCCAACTATTTAAGAGGCAAAAACACATGCCGTCGATTTTTTTGTGAAATTTAATAGTTTAAGAAAAAAAGTTCATTGATATATTTTTTTTGTGCCTTTAAGTTTCTAAACCATCCAGTGGTTGACAAGGGGGATGGATAGACAGTCATGATATCGTATACATATACGACTGGCATATGGCCAATATAGAATTGAGCATGTCATAACATGTTTCGCCGCGAAAAAAGTGTTGTTAGGCCGCTTTTTGTTAATAAACAATTTGTCTTGTTAGTGTTTTTTAAGCCTTTGGCAAGTGATGGGTGACATTCACAATTGATATAAACAAGAAAACGCGCAAAACTTTTTTGTTTTATATTTGAGGTGATCACCAATGTTATTTTTTTTTTTTTTTGTGATTTTTGTGAAAATTTCTCAAGAATTTTGAAAATGTTTCTTACAACTATTAATTATTTACACTTTTATATATTTCTGTTTCTTGTCATATGTCTAGTTTATTAATTGTTTGAAATTAGGCATTCATTTACGAATTTTCTACCTTAAGATATTTGACTAAAATTGCTGCTGGTGGGGTGTTTTAATGTGGGCATTAATAAAAATATTTAATTTGAAATAGTTGGACCAATTGTAAACAAATATTTATGATGTCCAGAAAAGTGGGGAATAGAAATATATTTGTTTCTACAAATTAGGGAACAAATTTTAATTGTAATTGGAATCTGAATTCTTCTATTACTAAAACCATACGCTAATTTGCTGTAAGACCGACTTAAATCAAAAAATCGATTTTGCAATGTACAGTGGTACTTTTTCAGCTTCTCGATCAGAGTGTATATTATTGGAAGGTGGGCCTTTTCGGCGCATTCCTTATAGTACTTCCCCCCAAAAAAGGTCAAAATTTTGAATTTATATAAATCCAATATTAAGGAGCTCCCACCTATTATCAGTTTCAAAAAAAATTATTTAATTCGAACCTACACTATTTCAAAAACGTCCCCATAAAATTACAAGTGAAAATCTCAACAACTCTTGAAAATATAGCCGAATTATTGTGTCAGCATTATGCGACGGTTGAGGGAACCACCCCCTCGCAATACTTTTGCCAAACTTAGATCTTGTCCGAAAATGGGTTTCATCCGTCAACTCCTTCTGGTACCTCCCCAATAAACATTGAAACATGTATTTTCTATGATACCTCTCCATTTATGGTCAACTATTTGATTAAAACATACATGTAAAATTACATGTATTAATTCTGTAGACCTCCGCAAACCATAGGTTGGGGGTATATATCTGTCGGCAACACCGACTGACACTTTTTAATTTCCTAACTTTATATTTTTTATCTTATGGAAAACTTCACGGCAGAAATTTCCACATCACGATTTCAATCCATTTTTAAAGTCTTCCTTATTGTGATTTAGATATTTTGGGTTCTTTTTTGTTCAAATATTTGTCCGGAGTGGGACTCGAGTTGGTTTTTCCACTTCGATAACAGGTAAATGTGTTCGAATTCAAAGCACTTTGTCTGAAAACATATCCGAACTGATCTTAAAACACATGATTTCCTTCTTTTCTTTCTAAGATTGTCGAGAGCTGTGAATTTATATTACAGTTGTTCGTTTATTCCAGAACTGTGTCTGTGTATTATACCTTTTGATAGGCATGCGATCCGAGGATCGAAACAATTTTTGAAGGCTCTCATTGTGAAATGTATAACAAGTTTGGTCTGATCGAATTTGACGAAATTTTTAAAATAAAATTTGAAAATATATAGATTTATTTAAATTTCTCCGAATTCGAATTCGCAGACCTGACTGAAAAACACAACAGAACTGCTGCGTCCGTGGATTATCCTTTTGGCAGCCATGCGATCATTTGTCTTAAATTTCTCGTTGGTACTTGAACTTTATAGTGAAATGATGGAGCCATGTTTCATACACCCACCATCTCCTTACACTTCCCATAGCCATCACTTTGTCGTATTGTGAATGATATAATGCGTCTATGGCATTATATATAAACGCGTCTATGGCTGAAACGTCTGTTGCTGCATAGAATTCCTTTCACGTATTAATTGTGAAAAATATATATATATATATTTATTACTTAATTAAATCGTTGTGGCTGGAAGCTTTTATTTCACATAAGAATATATTTGTACATAATGTAAAGCATTAGCGTTGTAATGTAAATTTCAAAGGCGAAGTAGTAAAACATTTTTTGATCTGATAAATTAATCCTCAAAACTGGACGACTTCATTTTTAAACTTCCCCGCGTTAGCTGATTCAAATCGATTATTGAAAGATATGGCTTAGGTGGTACATTAACTGGTACCTCAAAGCGTGTCTGTTTCTCAGGCGATTGAGTTTTCGCCTTAACACAATAGTCATGCATCAATGGGTCATGGGCCAAATCAAAGCGACCAGATTTAATTCGTAATAGGGCAAACTGATCATGAGTCTGTTGATGCTGGTTATGATGCGACGATGTTGATGGTACAGTTGTTGAACTTGCCACACGTCGATAATTACGATAACCACTAAAATGACTACTACCGGGAGCTACAGCACGTGTTGGTGAAAAACCGCCTTCATCTGAAGAACCGCCCGAATCATAACATATCGAAAGATTTGTATACGAAATGGGTGCATAACAGCGGGTAGTTTTCGGACGAGGTTTTACTTCGTAACGGGTTTTGGACCGTGATCGTGATTGATGGGTTCTTGGCCGTCGTTTCTTTTGACGCACCTCCGTCGGTAGGGGTACCGGTAGTACATTTATAAAACGATAATATTGTAAAAATGTTCTAGCTAAATTGCGACCACAACGGTAATCTGTAACACAAAATATATATTTTTTTGTGGTATATATTTTAAACTCCATTCTCTCTCTACTCACATCCCTCCTCCGTGTATGGCGCCACAGTTTTTCCATCCTTTAGATAATGACCTCCCATTGATATTTCCAATGTATAGGCATTCACCGTATCACTTAAACGTTCACAACAGTATCGTCGAGCACAACCAGATTTCTTTTCATCAGCATTGAATATCATATTGTTCGCAGCATAATCCGGTGCATTTCCTGCAAACAATCGTGGAAATACCAAATGCCTTTCATAGCGATAGACATCCTCATAGGTATTGCCATAAATAAAACAACCATGTAGACTTGTGTGAGCATGTAAATCGATGACAAAATCGATTTGATATGACTGCAATGAAATAAGGACGGGAATTTTAGAAAAGTAATGGAAATGATAATTAAATAAAATTTTAAAAAAATTTAAGAAGGTAAACCCTTTACCTATTGTTGATCACACATGTTATTCGCATTAACCTATTCCGACAGGCTGGAAGGATTATTTTTTAGAATGTTTGGTATTTAAAATAGGGTATAGCTGTCCACGAAAGGGGTTGATATTAGATCCTGGGCTCTTTAGAGGGCGAAATTTTTTTCAAAAGCATTGCAAAACGGCGGTTTATTCAACTGTGTTTTGTTATTCAGTTTCGCAAAAACACTACAAAACAAGTCAGTGTATTAAAGTATATCCATCTATCTCCATATAGTGGTACCGATCTATTTTAATTATTATTGCCTCATATTCCAAGATATATGTATATAAGAAGGCATTTCGGGTATATGGTGCCGTTGGCAATATTACAGTGAGAAAGGGGTGTTTTCGATGTTTCGCTTTTAATGTTGTCCAAATCGGTAATTCAAAAAAATTACAAGTTTATTTAATATTGACCTTTTCGGGGGAGGTATCAGAAGAGGACTTGATTTGTGCAAAGTTTGGTTCAAATCGGACATTCCATTCACCTGATATTTATGAATATTGAAAATTGTGTCCTTTTGTAGGGGAGGTAATTTTCGAATTATGATTTCATGACATCCTTGCATTTTAGGTATATAGTGTCTTCGGCAATATTACTGATAAAATATCGCGGAATATTTTTGTATGCAACTTTAACCCTCAACCGACTCATTAAAGGGGTTTTTTTCGGTCCCTTTTTCCAGGAGTGATTGAAAACTCATTCAAGACAGTTTTAAAGCTGCTCAGAATATTCTACAGAAATCTTCGCATTAAAGTTTTACTATAAGTCTCAGAACAGACTAAAACTCAAAAATCAGCCTAAACGTCAAAAATCTTAAAAAAACAAAAACTAATGTTCGGGTTAATTTCGTACTTATTACCAGTTTTTACCCACTTTTCTCACAAGATGTCGTTTTATAGGGAGAAATTTACATTTTAAGAAATTTACATTATAAAATTATATATAATAAAAACATTTTTTTGCAGACTTCAGTTAATTTTATACTGTAAATTTCTTAAAAACTATTGAATATAAATATATAGTTTGTTCTGAGACTTGAAGTGGATTTTGACGAAGAATATTTGATTCTTTGACATTATATACCTAAAATTAAATTTCATGTTACTTTAATGCACTTAGTCGAAAAATACTGAGAAATGTCTTTGAAAAAAAAAAAAAATACAAGAACATTTTGAATTTTAGGCTCAAATCCTTGAAGTAAATGAGAATTACCCCTGACTTTGGTCTGTAACTACGGAGAGCACAGCTAAAGATAGTGAAAGAAATCGAATAAAATTCATGGTATATGAGCGAATCAAATACGCATTCACTGGATTTTGCGAGAGTCTCGAAGTAAATGGCCAAGTACCTATGACCCTAATAGCGTTGAGGCGGAATTGGCCACCATAAAAAAGTATATGCACTTAGGTTACTTTCCACCTAATGTGAACCCCTTAATACTGGGATTTTAGGAGACATCGTCCCCATTAGTGTTTTACTGTTCTGTAGGCAGGGGACCGATTGTATTCGAGCGTAGCTATGTTGCCAAGGTCGACCTCAACTCTTTGCTTAACTATACCATGGATTAGTACCGTCTCCTTAATTTAATTTAGGAATAAATTAAGGATACGATCCTCTCCATAATTTAATTTAGGATAATTGGGGTTGCAATTTCCGCCAATTTCATGACGGTATGTGGCAAGCCAATTGTACCGAGGCAAGATGCCCTTGAGATGGTTGTTTGTGCTAATGATCTGACACGCAACTACTTAACGGCCTCTCTTGACCGGACTTGAGCGTAATGATGTCGCTTACATCAACATTCTCCTTGTCCGTCATTGGGGTTTCGTCACATATGTCTCCTGAGATGCTATCCTGACTCTGACAGAAAATGCCGTATTCCTCAATGAGCCTAAATAGAAATTCACTTATTTGGGGTTAGGTTGTCATGTATGTCATTTAAGACCGACATTAAGTCGTCTTCTCCCACTGTTGGCGTTATTTGAGACCTGAGTGATATCATGCTTTTAGATTTGACCGAAGAGTCCGTATCCGAGTTTTTATAAAGCTTTCTAACACTAGTGACATTGGATACTGAGAGTTGGTTGAGTGAAGAACCACGGCAAGGACTGAGGTCCAGATGCCAATGAGACTCCGTCTGAATGGTTCCGCTCATGAAAATTCGCGAGCGGCAGGCACTTTGGTCAAATGTCTAAATCAGGTGTTATTAACCTAAACGCCTTTAGTCAAGTTCTTATGGCTTCTAAAGATGTTTTTTGAGCCCTGGTTCAATTGTCATTGGTCTTAAGTATAATTTTGACAGCATGCATTGTCATCAGACACAGGTTGCTGATATGCGCCTCTACCAGCCTATCGCCATATATATTTGATATTTTTTTAAGTTGTTGACTTCCAAAATTTCTAATCAATTTTTTTTAATCATATTTTTTTACACATCTTTAAAAAATTAAATACTCACATCTGAATTATCAATTTCCCTTAGCATATTCTTAATGGCATATATTTCGGGATGTGAAAATTCCGTTGCCACCTGCCACACTCGATTCATATCCTGGCCAATCAAATTACAACGATTATTGCCCAAAAATACACCATCCGGATTGACCATTGGCACAATTTTAAAAACGAAATTTTCACGCAGAATTTTCGCTATATTATGGCTACTTAACAAAAATTCCAAAAAACCTTGGCACATAAAGGATGCTGGACTGGCATTGGCGTGGGAACGGCACAAAATCACAATGACACGAATAAAACTGCGATCAATTAGATTTGTTTTCTTTTTGCCCGTTACATGATCAATGGTGATTAAATCCACATTGCGGTTTTGCTAAAAGAAGAAGTCTCCAAATATTAAAATATAAAATTTTTTTATTCATGAACTTACCAACGATTTAGTTAACACACTCTTGGTGAATTTCTTTTCATGTTGATTTTGACGATTCTCAATCACGTTCAGGTACGATTGCAAGCGCGAATAGCTGTAAGGCGGTGCCAGAGCAAATTGATAGACATCATCTTCCTTATCGAAACAAAATACAAAACTCAACACATAATGATTTTGATGATGTGGTGAACGATAATAGAAAACATGTTTCTTGGGTAAACGTTGCCATTTTGGGCGTGATGATGATTTCACCAGTGGTGTTAGACCCGCATTAAATAAATTTCGCGATTTACTTATATTCACTAAATTGAAGATGACTTTTTGATCCTGCTTTACATTATCCACCGTGAAATTAAACCAAAATCGATATCGGGGATTACATGTATCCGGTCGTAGAAATAAATCATATTCAAAATCTCCTATTAAATTTGCTTTACCCAAATTTCCAGTTTCAAAGGCGGCATCAAAACATATTTGGCCACGTTTCGCTTTGCCACTGACACCGGCTGGTCGTATGATGACTCGGGAAACATTACCCATGCCACCCTCTCCATCGCTGCCTTCACTATCTGGAAGTAGAAAGGAAATTTGATTTTTAAGATGTTTCGAAAATATATTTTCGACCTAAAATGGTCGGCTATATCTGCAAAAATTTTAAGGGATTTGGACTTCGGCTTGACCTTAAGTTAAACACGGTTTTTATCACAATGCGTTCGGAAGTTACAGTGGTGTCTGGATGCAGAGGTCGTTGAACCGGTGACTATCTTTGTGGATAGTCAAGCGGCTCTTAAAGCCATCAAATCTAGTTATAACAAATCTGAGGCCCTCCTCATGGAAGAACTTACTGCTATCGGTTGTGTTGGGTACCAGATCATTGTGACATCTTGGCTAATGAAAGAGCGGACAAACTAGCTAGACGAGGATCTCAATCCACAGATCTAGCAACTGATGACTTAACCAAACCACCCATATGCTACTTTTACCGGAACTTTGAGGCATTCTTCGACGAAAGAACCTATGAACTTTGGCACAACGAACCTAGGTGTGTCAAGATCCATTTGGACGACTCTGTCTACCAAAAGGACGCACTGAAATAAGAGTAATGACCTGAGCAAAGCTGAATTAAGAGTAATGATATGAATCATTACTGGTCACTGCAATATCAGGGATTTTTCTAGTAAATGGGATCTCGATGCAATTGATTACTGTAGGCTCTGCGTTGAAGAGGAGGAAACGGAGACAATTGAGCATCTCCTGTGTCACTGCCCAGAATTGGCTTTCAGGCGGCGCAGACTAGTGTCTTAGCTTCTTCTAATCAACCGAACCGGTTAAAAAAGTACAACCTTGACACGTAACACATCTTCTGTCTGATTCCTACTGCCATCGACCTTATTTCAATCTTACCTTTTTTATATCTTTCTGTAAGCTTCTCATCTCCCTTTATTTCCCAAATCTTCTCTCCCCTGCATATCTTTCCTTATCTCTTTTCTTTTCGTGGATGATCACAGCGGACCCAGCTAAGAGTGCTGCACATCCCCAAACCTAACCTACCATAATAGGGGTAGCAACTGACGCAAGAACGGATATGTCCTTAACTGGTTCAGAATTTCACGCGAATCGAGAAGATATAACTTTATGGGGTCTAAAATTACTACTTTGAGGATTTAGAGGAATAATTAAAATTATTTATACCCTTCAAAAAATTATTTTTTATACAGAACCACAGCAAATACTTTTAATGACCCTATTATAATCACAATTTTTATTTCAACTTTCTTCGCGGGGTTTTAAAATACACATTTCAAATATTTACCCTCTTCCATGCGTTCATACATGCTGGTATGCTCCAAAGGATCTTTTGCTACACCCAACATTATTTGTATTTTTTTTCAAAAAATGTTATCTTCAAATAATATTTCTATTTCCACCACCTAACACTTGTGGTCTATTCCGATGATACAACGAATCTAAATTTACTTAACAGTGCCGCAAAGGCAATAAGGCTTCAATTCAATTTTACCTTTATTGAATTGTAATTAAATTGTTGTGAGAATATGGGAAGCCATTTTTTCAAATTTCCGGCGCTATCATAAAAATGAAGAACACTTATGATGATGGGGTATGTGATATCTCTTCACAAAAAGAATAAACACACACACACTCACACATACATAAATAAATTTCTCACGTAAATGGTATTTTCAAATATTATGACCTACATACACATACGAACCTAGTACAGCGCTCCTATTATCCTAAGAGAATAAAAGACGTAGAAGAAGCCCCTCATGCGATAACCTAACCTTTCTATCTAAACCCAAGACATTTCAATTGACGTTGATAATTTACTCACCTAACTCACATATACACATATTACTTACATACTTATTGTGATAGCAAGCAACTACATTGGTTTTCGAAAGTACTTTCTTAATGGAACAATGCCGTCCCTATCCCACACCTCCATGCTCTTTCCCCATTGGCAAAAAAAAAAAAACTATTACTTTTCTTTACTTTTGACACGTTCGGTTTTCCATGAATGCGTGCCGTCATTTATCTCACGACTCCTAATAGCTGGTGGTGGTGGCACGCTGTTAGTTTTGAATACCGCCAGGATTTGCATTTTAATTGCTATGTGCATTTAATTCAAGTGTCGTGTCATGACACTACCGCACACCTTTGTTCATGTACGTGTTGAGCTTTAAGGTTAAATGTGGTTTTGTTCGCCTAATGGCAAACTATGTACGTATGTAGTAATTGGTGTGTGTGTGGGTTGTAAGGTAATAGAGTATTTAAGATTAGATATACAATTTTTCATAATCCTTTGCAAAAAGGTTTTTTTGGATATACATATTTATTCAAATTGATTTGATGTAGATGTCGTTATTCCTAGTAGAGACGATTGGAACCGGAGTAACCCTCTTCTGGACGGTCTGGATTTCTATACAGACGGATCCAAGATGGATGAAGGTACAGGGGCTGGCGTCTACAGTGAAAGGCTAGGCCTTGAGCTTATCTACAACCGGGATAGCAACTGCAGTGTTTTCCAAGCTGAAATCTGGATGCAGAGATCGTTGAACCGTGACGACTATCTTTGTAGATATGCAAGCGGCTCTTAAAGCCATCAAATCTGAGGCCGTCCTCAAGTGTAGAACAGTTTTGGAAGAACTTACATCTGTCGGCTGTGTTGGGTACCAGTATACCGTGATATCATGGGTAATGAAAGAACAGACGAATTAGCTAGTCGAGGATCTCAATCTACAGATCTACCAATTGATGACTCAATCAAACCACCCATCTGTCATCTTTTTCTGGGCTTTCGATAAGGTCGATTATTCCGAGATGATATCGGACATCCCAAATTCCAACTTTTCGAGTGATATCAAGCGTTGGCTTTCCAATTACCTTAATGATCGGCAAGTTACTTTTCGATTTATTTAAATAAGAAGGAAAGTAGCATAATCTGTCAGTTGTATTTAGGTATAGCATGTCTTCTTCCCCGGTATGGGAATGAAGGTCACATTTACCCCTCCCCATGAATTTGGTATGAACAAAACTCCTAAATATCTTCTTTAGTACTGTAATACCTTTGTTGGAAAGTTAACACGGAATTTTGTCAAGGGTTTATCTTCAGTTCGGAATCGAATGTATTAATTGTAATCCATTATTATCCCCTCCCTCATTTATATAAAATTCCCCGGAGATCATATAATATATTCTAGATCTTGAGTAAAATTCTATTTAATTTTTGGAAGGCTTACAGGCTTATTTATCAAGGGCTCATCTTCAATTCGGAATCAATATTATATCCTCCATCATGTATATTAAATTACCCAGAGATCATGACAATATCCGTATGATTAAGATATTTAAGATAAGACTTTGGAATTTCGCACATACATTACTAATCCTAGGGTTTTTATACCCTCAGCCTTATGGCAAATTAGGGTATAAACACAGTGTCACGGCAAAATGAGGAATATCGGTTCAGTCTATCTGGTACCTCCCATATAAAATCATCAATATTTAGCTGAACATTAATTTTGTAATATCATACGAACGGACTATCCGATTTGAACCGAACATTGCACAAATTAATATTTTTAACAAGCCTGTATACTGACCCCACAGAGGGTCAATATTTTTATTAAAAAAATCGAATGTAATATCTAATTTGATCCAAAACTTACACATCGTAATATTTTTACCAAACCTTAATCATGTCCGAAGATTGGACCCACCAGTTCATTCCATCTGGTACCTCCCCCACAATGTGTCAATATTTTGAAAATTTGTTAATTTAATATCAAACAAATTGAATATCCAAACTTTGGAAATTGTAATACTATTTCCTAACCTAGAATATTGGGGACTTTGGACACGTTTGATTGTAATTTGATTGCATTCTCATTGTATTCTCAATCGATGTTGGTCTACTTTTTAGAGTAGACCCAATTTCATTATTTTAGGGCTTTTGGACATGTTGTTTGGGTCATAATTTGATACCTTCCCATATATTTAATTTGGTTGTTAAATCTACCTTTCAAATATGTATAATATTTATTTGGATGTGGAGGGAATAGAAATTTGGACCCTACCGAACTTAACGACGTTTTTACTTATTTATATCCCTGCAACTTTAAAATGAGAAGCTTATAATAGGTTCTGAGTAACGATTTCAAGATACCTTAATATTTGATGAAATATTAGGTTGAGGAAAACGAAATCCATTATGAAAATGTATATAAAATCGGAAAAATTATCGAAGTAGACCGGCATGTTAGCAGTCATATCATCTCCTAGGAGCTAAAAATCGGAATGGGATATACCCACTTCCCTAACGGATGGTGACTAGAAATGAGAAAGGGATCACATACGATAACCCTGTGCTAAAACGATCGTGGTCAAAGAGCAGTGAAGTACCTCAAACGGTGGCCAAACCATGACTAACGCACAGGAAGGAAGGTTCTGCTATGCATTTCGTGAGACTGGAAGGGGATTATTTATTATGAGTTGCTTACATATCTCCAAACGCTAAATTCTGATCTCTGCTGTCAACAACTGGACCGTTTGAAAATAGCAAATGACTAGAAACAGCCAGCATTGGCCAACAGGAGAGGTTTCGTGTTCCACCAAGACAACGCTAGGCCACACACACCTACAGTGACTCGCCAGAAACTTCGGGAGCTTGGTTGGGAAGTTTTAATTGCAAAATTGTTTTAATGTTAAAAAATTGGTATCTAGGGAGAATTGTGAATTGTGATCGACTACTAGAGTTGTTTGTGCAAATAGAGGCAGGACTTCTATGAGAGAGGCATTATGAATATACCTTTAAAATGGCAACAAATCATACACCAAAACGGTTCGTATTTGGACAATCCGAATCCAAATCGGACATTCCGAAGCATGTTAAATAAAGTCCTATAGTTCATATAAAAATAATGGATTTCCCCAACCTAATATTTTTCTCTGTATACGCATATGTATTATCTTTTTATAAAATTTCATGATGTACTATAAAGTATTGTCGTTTTTTAAGGGTTACAATTTTTGTTCATATTTGTATCCTTCTTACCTGAATCACCCACTTTTCTTCTGGTCTTTTTTTACTCCTCACTTTTATTGCACATTCCGAATCATGTTAAATAAAGACCTATGGTTCATACAAAAATAATGGATTTCTTTTTCCCCAACCTAATATTTCTCTGGGTAGATTATGTCTGGTTTATTGTTAAGCTTTCATATGTGTTCGCATATGTATTATCTTTTTATAAAATTTCAAAAAAGTACTATAATAAAGTATTGTAGTTTTATAAGGGTTAACATTATTTGTTGATATTTGAATCCTTCTTACCTGAATCACCCATTTCTCCTTGTCTTTTTTTTTACTCCTTACTTTTATTGTATATCAACGCCATAGGTTCATTTCTAAAAAATAACGTAATTAAAAAAATATTTCACTGAAAAGGCAACAAATAATAATGCATTCACATACATACATTATGGCCTTAGATATTTCATACTTCTCCACATGGTGCAATGACCTGACCCCTCGATACAAACAAAAAGCCACTTGAACTTTTTCTTGCATGCAAAAATATTTCACTTTCGTTTGTCTTGTCGTCTTACTACGTGTATTTCTTCGATTTCAATTTAGCACTTTATATCAACGATATGCGCAAATGTGTGAAATATATATTTCAAAGAGGCGTTAACCATAGAATTTCTATTGCATATTGTTAGGCGTACTCAAAAAAGAAAATGACGTTCTTATAATAATCTCGAAGGTAAAATCTTTTCTGTTGTTTGCTATGATGTTGGAAATTCAAAATTTTCCATTTTATTTACTATTCAATTTGTAGTTTTTTTGCTGATGATGATGTGGATAAGTTTCACTTTTAACAACACTTTCTTCACTGATGGTCGTTTTGACATTTCTCCTTAGACTCTGTTAGTAGTAGTGCCATGCCGTCCGTAACTCTTGGAATTTCCTTTATTTTTTTTCTTGAGATTTCTTTTTTTCTCTCGATTCTACCGACATTTTACAGAAATTTTGTTTACATTTGTTTGATCAATAAATTCCAATAGATGGTTATATTTTCCTTTTTTTGTTGTTAGCTTTTGAAATAAATTATTTGCCTTATGTCTTCTATATGCCAGCGAGTTGAACTAAAGTGAACAATATCGAAGAAATTTAGTTTTAGTTTGCTTGAGCTGCTATATTGAAGTTTTGCCACGGCTTGTATCTATCGTAACGCTGTTTGTTTTGTATATAATAATTTCGTTGTTTTTGTAGTTGTTGCTGTTGTGTTAAACGGTTATTATTCAAAAAATTTCGCATGTGCGATAAAGTTTTACGGCTACGTCATTAGTTTTTGTTTTTAACTAGGAACGCTGTTCCTTTGTTAACAAACAATAATATTTGTGTATTGCCGTGGTATAAATATCGTGTTAATTTTTAATTGCCATCCGGTAGGAATACAATTTGTAGTCACCACCTAATAGCCTTCCGCACTAAGTAAGGTATTGTGTTCATTCCTTGCTGTGATTGTCGGTTAGCAAGGAAACGTATTTTCTGGAATAAAAGTTGTTCACGTGTTTTTCGAATATAGTTCAATGGGTTAAACGTTTGTGTGTTGCGTTCATTTTTTTGCATACCAGCACATAAATTGCTGTATTACGTTTTTGTTTGTTTTGTTAATCGCAGTTGAAGTTTCAGGACTATGGAAATAATGCAACGGTATTTTCATCGTTGCTTATAAAGTTGTTAGTGAATGTTTTTGTGCATAAATAAGAGTTATTTCGTTCGTAGTTTTATTTTTTTAAGTAATTAAAAATTATGTCAATAAAGAATACATTAAAATATATTCTACAAAAAGTTAAACAATTGTCAATTTAGGAAGAAACAAATATTTGTATATGGGGTTTCGTTTCCATGACATTAATTTGCCAATACTTGGGTGTTGAGTGCGAACAAAAAATTATTAACTAAAAATAATGAGAACTCAAAATGTCGAATTAAAATTATTTCAACTCTGATAAACTCTTTGAAAGTGTGGTCCATATGGTGAAATTTGCTGCTCTTAAAGAGATCTGGATAAATATCGGGGTCTAAGTAAAATAGCACCTCTTTCTCCGTTTGCAGCTCTTAGATAAGGTGTGGCTTCACAGCTTTATACTAATGGATAAATAGGTAATGAATAAATGATAATGGAAATATTCGAAACTTTAAACTTAAAATGTATTTAATAAATGAGGATCTGTGGTCTGTCGTAGATTCTACCACGCCAGAAGAATCAGAGGCTTGGAAAAAGCGTGATAAAGAGCATTTGCTATTATAAGTTTGTGTGTAGATTATCTTCTACACACAGTTTATACACATAAGAAATAAAAAAAAAGCTAATTAGTTTGAAGGCTCAGCATGAACGGGTAACATTAAGTTCAAAGGTTACACTAATGAGAAGAATATGTAATATGCATTTGAGCGAAGAGGAATATATGCAATCACACATAAATGCAATCATACAGCTTGCAAAAATTGCATAAAATATTAATTTCAAATCCAAATGACTGCATATACGCCGATCTCACTTTTGTCACCAGTAGCGAAGACTCTTAATTTATTGCTCAGGGAAAGTGATATACTAGCAATTCATCGACATGGGCTCCGTTAGCAATAAACACCAAAAGACTAAACCAGAACAGGTATCAGAAGCCCTTGACCTTTGATTCCGCAATCATACTAATCCGTTACATGAAGTGCATGCCCCCATTGTGGAGTTCTCCGTGCTGGAGCAATGCCTTCGGAACTTTTTAATCTTTAATTAACAGCTTTCCTCATCCTCCAGATGGCATATATGTCATATAACATATGGGAAAGATATATCTCTTTCACGAGAGAAATATGAAAATATCCATCAATGCCCCTGAATGTTTTAGATATGCAATACTAGTCACCAACTTCACCGAAATTCCCAGGTTCACATTTTAAAACATGTTTAAAGCATTTGTGAAAGCCGCAGTTATTTCTGAGGTCCACAATCCGCTCGACGGCAAGTCTTTGCTTTCAGAAAAATGAACCTTTTCAACCTTATTTAAAGATATAGGTTGGTTTTCGGCCAACTATACGACTCTAGTGTGATCGGCGAATACTAGTGTTATTCAATAGAAGAAATGTTGCCCTCATGACAACGCTGAACCCTCTTTATGAGAAGACAAATATTTTTTTCCTTTAGGATAGCATAACAATAGACTTTCATTCAAATAGGGGGTTACATAGGAAACCATAAAAATCATCTGTTGGATTGATCTCCTCAATTCAGGACAGTCAGATCTGCATAATAAAACCAGCCGAGAGCTCCTCGTCGGTCTATTTTCCGAATCATGTTTACCCGGAGTAAAAATTGACTCCATAATATTAAAATTGAATTATTTTACACAAAAAAGTTTTGGTTCACTTGACCCGCTAAACACCACTCACAATTTTAGCCGCTTGGTTTGCATTTTCGCCTTTGTCAAAGAAAAACTGTAAAATGTACCGAATTTTCTCTTTGTTCACTTCCATTTTTAACACCCTGTAATTGAATGCACAAAAAAATGGCAAAATAACTTTTTTTACTGTGAAATGTATGCCGGTACGGACCACAAATCTGAAATTGTTTGATCTATACTTTACGGGAAATCTATCAATACAGCCATCTGCCGAAAAAATAATGGATTTGTTTTTCCCCAACCTAACCTGATTTATTATTCTTATTGCGATTTTAATCCCACTTTTTCTTACGAGAGATTTATGTTTTTTGGTAGTTCTAAGTCCAGTTTCCTTCTGTCACCTGGTACTAGTATTAACTTAGTAGATTTCGTGAAGTCTTCCGCCTCAAGTTCATCATTTGGAGGACATTTTATTTCATAAAGAGTAAATTTTCATTCTCCATAAGAATTTCCGTAGTGTTGGCGGCTTATTTGGGATACCATAGTCAGGCGTAATCCCATTTTGTTGTTTTTACAAAAAACAACTATTTATTATTATCCACCAAGGGGTAAGGTAGGGAAGACTATAGTTTCATATCTCGCCATTGATACTCATCAGTTCCTTACTCTTTTCTAAATAGTTTGACCGTACCTGTCTCTACAATTGTATTTTGTATCTTGTTTTTACAAAAGGCGTATTCCTATACCTCTCAAATTTTCTTAATTTGGCTGTTGTTGTAGTCCCACTAGTTTTACACATTGGTTTGGCAGTTGTTGTTGCAGCAGCCCTATTGCTTTTACACAATGTGCTGAGGTGACATACGTTTGCCGAAAAAGACTCGGATCGTTTCGGATCGTAGACCCCTCTGTCTTAGAAACGTGGGGTGAGTCGTTCGCCGAGTTAAATCCGGGACGTTGCGACCCGTGTGTGGAAACGCCTGAATTTGATGTATGTTCTTCTTTGACAATATCCCAACTTTATTTGTTACGATTTATTTGATCCATACTTTCCATAATGTCCATATAAAACCCTTTTATTTCACAATTTTATTAGAAAATCAATAAAACAATATATATTAATAAAAATCATCTAGATTTATTTGCAAACTAGAATTTGTGTTATATATATAGAAACTGTGCTTACAGCGAATATAACATCTTGTGAACGCACACTTACTCATTTTTGTTGCCTATTTTATAAAGTTTTTGATTTGTTAATTGTTTACCCCTGTTTTCTAAAAACAAGTTAACGCTGTTTTTTGTTCCTTACAAATTGCTACTGATCATTTTAAGGATTCAACTAAAACCATTCCTTTTTTCCTTATTTCCATAGATTGGGAAGTGTTCGACCACCGAAGCGTTGTCGCAGCGATATGGATACCACATCGGCATCAGATATTGTTATCATTCATGGTAACTCTCATCCAGATTTGGCCAATTTAGTGGCCGAACGTATGGGTGTTAAGAGTGGCGGCTGTTCAGTGTTTCACAAAACAAATCGTGAAACAATGGTGGAGATTGGTGATTCTGTAAGAGGCAAGGATATTTATATTATACAAACGGGAACCAAGTAAGTTTCAAAATACATTACGCAAAGTAAATAAATATTTAATTGATTTTTTTTAATTCTCTTCCTTAGAGATGCCAATAACAATATTATGGAATTGTTAATTATGGCCTATGCCTGCAAAACCTCCTCGGCCAGATCAATTGTGGGTGTGATTCCATATTTGCCCTATTCGAAACAATGCAAAATGAGGAAACGTGGCTGCATTGTTTCCAAACTATTGGCCAAAATGATGTGTACTTCGGGTTTGACACACATCATTACCATGGATCTGCATCAAAAAGAAATTCAAGGATTCTTTGATATACCTGTTGATAATTTAAGAGCTTCACCATTTCTGTTGCAATACATTCAAGAGAGTGTAAGATTTAAGATATTTCTAATATTCTACCATATTAATGCGATTTTTTCCATTTTATTAGATACCAGACTATCGTAATTCAGTTATTGTTGCCCGTAATCCTAATTCAGCTAAGAAAGCCACCTCATATGCTGAACGTTTACGTTTGGGCATTGGTGTCATCCACGGTGAACACAAAGAAGCTGAAAGTGATCAAGTTGATGGTCGTTATTCACCACCACCCAACAGGTGAGTCATTTTATGTTCATGTATTTTTTTTTTGTGCTACCTCCAAAGGAATCCCATAGCATTGGGGTTCTAATTGTAGAACTTCATGTAGTTGTATGTGACAAAAATAAAGAATTAATAACACACATATGTCTCGGCTCTCTAGGTGTATATATATGTGTGTGTGTGTTTTGGTCCAAATTGCATAATGTCATTGATGTCATATGCTATGCGTCGATTTTTTATTTAAATGTTTATTTTTATTTCATATTGGCTTTGCAGTACTATTTTTAATTTGCTAACTAAATTTCATTAAATTTTTTTATTAAATACTTCATGCATTCTTGCTTCTACATATACGAATTATTTCTAAAATATCCTTATCTACATTCAAACATACACATCTTCTATCTTCTGACACAGCATAATATTTTTCACACATTTTGTCTTTTGAATTTATTATATTATTTTCTTCTCAAATATACAACAAGTACATTTCAACTTTCGAAGTTCTTCTATACAACGTTTTCAAGACTGGGTAATATTTTTGATTTTGAATTGTCTCTAATTTGATTTTAAAATGGTTATTATTTGTGTTATGCATGTTTAACTGGAGTTTATTTATTATTAGCATGTTTAGTGTGAGGTTTTTGGATAATTTCAAAATCACAAGGCCGAGCTAATTTCTTTAACGCAGAGGGAGGGACCGGTATTTGAGAGAAAAATTCTCCGAAAGATCTATGGGCCGATCTGCGTCGACGGTGAATATTGCCGTCGAATAACCCAAGAGTTGTACCATCTAATCTAGGACATAGACATAGTCAGACAAATCAAGCTACGTTGACTAGGTCATGTTGTGAGAATGGATGAGGATGCCCAAGCACAAAACGCATAAAAGCGAACCAGCTGATGGTTGACGCAGAAGGGGAAGGCCACGAATTCGATGGAAAGATCAAGTGGACGAGAACATTTCGGAACATGATATTTAAAATGGAAGAACTGCGCACAAGACTGACGCGCCTAGAAATCTTTTTATTATGCTTATGGAACAAATATTCTGACCAAGCCATCTAAGTAACTAAGTAGAGCCTATATTAGAGAAAATTAGTCTCGATATTTGTAGACGTCAAATGTTATATTTTGAGATGTCACATAATCACCAACCAATGTTCCATAAAACAAGCAGGGATTGCATTTAAAAATGTAGATTTAAGACCAGTATATAGAAGTATAATCCAAAAAGTTATGACTATAATTCGTTCATATGACCGCATGTTTGCGTCTTTCGACGTTGTTTTGAATTGGTGAAAATATCAATTCATACGGAGTTCCACGTTATCGGATTGCAGTTTTGAACCCAAAAATAGGATTTTTTATAAAGAAGATCTAAATTTTCAATTCCTCTTAGAGGAGGTTACCTGGCAAAATGCCGTTTAAGTGCATATTAAACTAGTTAGAAGTTATCAGTTGGTATTGCCGTCAGATGCAGAGGGCAGCCTACGACATATATACAATAAAGTACGGTTATAGTGAACTAGGACCAAGCAAATTAGTTCGTTATAGACGAAGTTCGTTATATGGGACCGAATAAATAGTTCGTTATAAAAAAGTTCGCTATATCCGAAGTTCACTATAAGTGTTAAGATTTGAAAATAAATCTTAAAATGCCGGGATCAGGGAATGTGTTCGCTATAAAGAAAGTTCGTTATAACCGGTGTTCGTTATAAGCGTACTCGACAGTACATATATTTTTGTATTCATTTTACCAGTTCTGCGGAGTTGGAATCTATATCTCATGGTCGCCCAATTGTGTTGTCCATCTTATCTCGGAGAGGACATTAATATTTTCCGTCTAAATAACAAACTACATATTCCCGATTTGGGACAAAAAGGTACCAGAAGGAGTATAATGATAGTATGCATTTTTGCACTCGATCTAGGTTTGGTAAAAATATTACGAGTGGAAGTCACGTAATATTAGATCAGTGATACACAGTGTGAGATGATGGCAATTTGTGAATGTATGTGTGAGACTAACAAAAGTAGCACAAAAAGCTAAGCATAGCCGTAAAAATGATGAGTACTACCACACACATGTTTACTTGTGAGTTAAACTCCCTGCTAGAGCAGGGTCGCATACATACATTTGCTGTAAAGAATTCAATGTGCCGTTGCCTGTTGACCCGTTGCGAATAGCTACCATAAAGAGTGGACCAATAGGCTACATTTACGGATAGTATTTATGTGTGGTAAAATTATTTCTTTGCGCGAAATTTGGATTAAATCATTTAGCAGAATTTTAAGACGTTGACCTTTTTACGACATATCTCATTTTTGAATTTAACTTCGGTTTGCTACAAATCTTACGGTATTCGCTTCATATGAGACAAATTTTCAAAATATTGGCATATATTGTATATATAAACAAAATGTTGACCATTTTGTGGTGGAGGAGTGTACCGATTTTCTCCATCTTCGTAATCGATTTAAGTTTAGAAGAAATATAACGATATGCAATGTTTGGATCAAATCGGTAACTCCCTTCAAGAGTTACACAATTTTGTTCCGATTTCGGTACAAATTCGGCATCATAATCGGAATTTTGTGCAGAGTTTCGTTCCAGATTGGGGAACAATAGAAACAAATTGTTAACTGGGAAAGTATACAAACACATCTTTAAAATATACTTCGCATTAGTACGCATATAGAAAAACGTTGCTCTCATTTACATTCTTCATCATATATCATTTAGCCGTACAATATGAATACAAAATGAATGATATTGATTGATACGAATTCAGTTTATCATTAAAATACAATAAATAGTTTTAGATCCCGTAGAAAACGTTTCTTCTAACCGCTATATTAGCGGTTTAAATATTTCCAAATCTTTAATAATATTGTTTTTAATTAGATTTTAAATGTATGTGTTTTGGCATTCTTTAGTAGTGCTTGTTTAATCCTGTTAACCATGCTTTAGGTTTTACAAAAGTTAAACTAAATACCACCAAATATATTTCAAAATAGAAAGTCAATGTGTTGATGATTAAATATTTCTGATATTTCCCAATGGCAATGAATACTGATTATACGTTATAATACTTTTATTTCAATACAAGACATCAAGTAATCTATAATTATGTATGAAGAGTTTTTTATTTTGTCCGTTTTTTCAACATTCATCGTAATTAGTAATTTTCAATGGGATTGAGAACAAATTTTGAATGTAGAGAACAAATCGTATGTTCAAATTACACGTAAAACTTAGTACAAGCCACAGTTATGAATCGTCATTGAAATTTTGCATATAGATTCGGTTTGGGGCAAAGACGACATCAATAATTTGTGGTCATGATCGGTTAATATTTTAGGACCTTTATTATAAAAATTAAAGGGTATCAACCCTGTGGTCAACCCCGTCCGACTATACTGTTCATTTTACAGTTTTTATTTAGACATTCTATATTAAGTGTTTGCCCAAAGCGATCAATATAGTATCAAAACGTTCAAAAATGTATTATTGTAATGAAACAAACATGTTGTTCTAGTTTGTTATTATTTTCCTTCTTTTTTAGGAATTCACAACAAAAACCTACAATCACGATGTAAATTTACATTTGTCACCTCATGAATTCTATGATTTAAAGCTTTGTTGTCGTAAAATATGGTGATGTATGAAGAAAGATGTTTTCTTCTACACCAAACAAACACCTGCAAAAATGTGGAAATTATATGCAATCTACATATCAAATCAAAAATACAAAAACTGCACATTTTTTTTAATTTTTTTTTGTTTGCACAATACTAAAAAAATTAAAAAAATGTGCAGTTCATTTGAATGTTTTAATAAAGTCATAAATCATTTGTTACACTTGTTGTGTTGTTAGTGAAATTTTTAGAGATTGTGTAACAAGTTGTATTTTGTGTTCAGTTTTTGTAGCAGCTTTTGTATTTGATTTTGTAATTTCATCTATATATTTTCTGGAAATTGTTATTGCTTTTTGATTTAGTTCTTCAATAAATGTTGTTTGTGTACGTATGGTGCTAGAATTTGGTATTGGTATTAAAATTTGAAATTTTGAAAATACAAAGAACAAAACAAAGAACGAACGAATTTTGTTTTCTTATTTCATTGCGGTGATTTGTTTTAATTTATTTTTTGCAAAATTCCAAAAAATCACTCCAGTTCGTATGATGTAGCAGATACAGTTGAAATGTGCTTACCAGCAACACCTAGGTTGGTATACCAAAAATCTAAAACAACTACTATTATGCAAAAGTGTGTTAATCTATTTCGTTTCATCGTATTGGAATAATAACAAAATAACCAAATATATATTTTTACATCATAATTATTTTCTTCATGTGCATTTTCTTTATTATCCATCTTTCATTTGAGAATTTTAACTAACATACTAATTCATATCATATATGTTAAGGATGATATTCGTTTTGGTTTTAAATATAAAATCATTTAATTGGAAATATAATTTTAAAAAATAATGGGTTTTTGTTTTTCCAAAAAAATATATAATTACTTCAGTCGTGCTCGTACCATTTCTGTATCGGTTGGTGTACCCGAACATCCACAAAAAGTTAAACCTCCATTGAATCTAGTTGGTGATGTTAATGGTCGCATAGCTATTATGGTGGTAAGTACATTAAGTTGGGAATACTTTTGTATATACATATATTTTTTAAATTAACATGGAATATTGACATTTCATTATTTTAGTTTTTAGGTTTATGTGAATATGACCTTGAAAAAAATATTCTTTAATAAATCCACGCCTTTTATAGTCCTTGAAAAAAAATATTCTTTAATAAATCTACGCCTCAGTTGGCCCTTGAAAAATATTCTTTAATAAATCTACGCCTCAGTTGGCCCTTGAAAAATATTCTATAATAAATCCACGCCTTTTATAGTCCTTGAAAAAATATTCTTTAATAAATCCACGGCTTTTATAGTCCTTGAAAAAATTTTCTTTAATAAATCCACGCCTTTTATAGTCCTTGAAAAAATATTCTCTGATAAATCCAATCCCCTCATAGTCCACGCCTTTCAAGTCCTTGTAAAAATATTCTTTAATAAATCCACGTCTTTTATAGTCCTTGAAAAAATATTCTTTAATAAATCCACGTCTTTTATAGTCCTTGAAAAAATATTCTTTAATAAATCCACGCCTTGAATAGGCCTTGAAAAAAGTCTTCTTTAAAAAATTCGCGCCTTGGTTAGGCCTTGAGAAAAGTCCTTAAAAAATCCACGCCTTGAATAGGCCTTGAAAAAATATTCTTTAATAAATCCACACATCAGTAGTCCCTTGAAAAAATATTCTTTAATAAATCCACGTCTTCTATAGTCCTTGAAAAAATATTCTTTAATAAGTCCACGACTTTTATAGTCCTTGAAAAAATATTCTTTAATAAATCCACGCCTCTTTATAGTCCTTGAAAAAATATTCTTTAATAAATCCACGCCTCTTTATAGTCCTTGAAAAAATATTCTTTAATAAATCCACGCCTCTTTATAGTCCTTGAAAAAATATTCTTTAATAAATCCACGCCTCTTTATAGTCCTTGAAAAAATATTCTTTAATAAATCCACGCCTCTTTATAGTCCTTGAAAAAATATTCTTTAATAAATCCACGCCTCTTTATAGTCCTTGAAAAAATATTCTTTAATAAATCCACGCCTCTTTATAGTCCTTGAAAAAATATTCTTTAATAAATCCACGCCTCTTTATAGTCCTTGAAAAAATATTCTTTAATAAATCCACGCCTCTTTATAGTCCTTGAAAAAATATTCTTTAATAAATCCACGCCTCTTTATAGTCCTTGAAAAAATATTCTTTAATAAATCCACGCCTCTTTATAGTCCTTGAAAAAATATTCTTTAATAAATCCACGCCTCTTTATAGTCCTTGAAAAAATATTCTTTAATAAATCCACGCCTCTTTATAGTCCTTGAAAAAATATTCTTTAATAAATCCACGCCTCTTTATAGTCCTTGAAAAAATATTCTTTAATAAATCCACGCCTCTTTATAGTCCTTGAAAAAATATTCTTTAATAAATCCACGCCTCTTTATAGTCCTTGAAAAAATATTCTTTAAAAATCCACGCCTCTTTATAGTCCTTGAAAAAATATTCTTTAATAAATCCACGCCTCTTTATAGTCCTTGAAAAAATATTCTTTAATAAATCCACGCCTCTTTATAGTCCTTGAAAAAATATTCTTTAATAAATCCACGCCTCTTTATAGTCCTTGAAAAAATATTCTTTAATAAATCCACGCCTCTTTATAGTCCTTGAAAAAATATTCTTTAATAAATCCACGCCTCTTTATAGTCCTTGAAAAAATATTCTTTAATAAATCCACGCCTCTTTATAGTCCTTGAAAAAATATTCTTTAATAAATCCACGCCTCTTTATAGTCCTTGAAAAAATATTCTTTAATAAATCCACGCCTCTTTATAGTCCTTGAAAAAATATTCTTTAATAAATCCACGCCTCTTTATAGTCCTTGAAAAAATATTCTTTAATAAATCCACGCCTCTTTATAGTCCTTGAAAAAATATTCTTTAATAAATCCACGCCTCTTTATAGTCCTTGAAAAAATATTCTTTAATAAATCCACGCCTCTTTATAGTCCTTTAAAAAATATTCTTTAAAAATCCACGCCTCTTTATAGTCCTTGAAAAAATATTCTTTAATAAATCCACGCCTCTTTATAGTCCTTGAAAAAATATTCTTTAATAAATCCACGCCTCTTTATAGTCCTTGAAAGAAATATTCTTTAATAAATGTACGCCTTTTATAGTCCTTGAAAAAATATTCTACAATAAATCCACGCCTCTTATATAATTGGTTTCTAAGTCGTCATATTCACATAAACAAAATTGTTAGGATACTAATTTCACTCATCCGATACAGTACTGGAATTTTTTGAAAATTGTATTAAATTTAAAAAAAATTATATGTATTACAATTATTTATTTAAGGATGACCTGATCGATGATGTCCAATCGTTTGTGGCCGCTGCCGATGTTCTGAAAGAGAATGGTGCCTGTAAAATTTATGTATTGGCCACACATGGTCTGCTTAGTTCAGATGCGCCACGCCTAATTGAGGAATCTGCTATTGATGAGGTATGTCACCAATAATTTATTTTCCAGTATAATTTAAATTAATCTTCCCTATTCTTCATTTGCAGGTTGTTGTTACCAATACCATTCCACATGAGGTACAAAAATTACAATGTCATAAAATCAAGACAATTGATATTTCCATTTTAATTGCTGAGGCAATTCGTCGTATCCATAACAAGGAATCCATGTCTTATCTCTTCCGTAATGTTACATTGGAGGATTAAACAAGAAAACAGAAAAACGTAATACACGTTTTTAATTTTTTTATTAAATATGGTGTATTTATTGTAGCTTATTTTTTCTAAATTGTTGGCAAAAAAAGAGTATGCATTTCGAACTAAATTGATTATGCCTTGGGCATAATAAGATGAGAAGAGGAACAAGGAAATATGAATCACATTTTATTCGTTTCATTTTTCCTTTTTTATATATAACACACCTATATAAATATATATTTTTCATATTTATATTTACAACATACAAATAATTATTGTCAATGTTTTTTGCCGCAATGTGAATTAATTTTTTATATTAAATGCATTAAGATCTGGAGCATTTTATTATTATTATTGAAGAATAAAAATCATTTTGTTTGATTTGTTAAGTTTTAATTTTTTTTGTTTTTCTATTTTTCTGAAATACGTATTTTTCTCTTAAATCATTTTTATCTCAATTTTTTTGAAATTTTTATTATTATGTATTGATTTTTGTATAAAATTCAATTAAATAAAGATATAAATAGTTATAAATATAAATACTTCGTTTTTTTCTTCGTATTCAAATTTTGAAAAGAATTTGTTATACAATTATGAAAACTAATCAATTTTGTTCTCAATAAATACATAGTGTATAAATAATATATTAAAATAAAAAGGGTCAAGGTATGGTTATTTAAAAAATTTAAAGAAGAGGCACGGATTTTTAAAGAATATTTTTTCAAGGCCTATCCAAGGCGTGGATTCCTTAAAGAATATTTTTTCAACGCGTATCCAAGGATTTTTTAAAGAATATTTTTTCAAGGCCTAGAAGAGGCGTGGATTTTTTAAAGAATATTTTTCAAGGCCTACAAGAGGCGTGGATTTTTTAAAGAATATTTTTCAAGGCCTAAAAGAGGCGTGGATTTGTTAAAGAAAAGGCGTGGATTTTTTAAAGAATATTTTTCAAGGCCTAAAAGAGGCGTGTATTTTTTAAAGAATATGTTTCAAGAGCCAATAAAGTTGGGTATTTTTTAAAGAATAGTTATTCAAGTGCCAATAAAGTTGGGTATTTTTTAAAGAATAGTTATTCAAGTGCCAGTAAAGACTGGAATTTTCACCAGGCGTCTTCTTATTTTTTTTTTTTATAAAATATTACTCATACCTCGTCTATTTTTTGTTTAAGAATAAACAAACAAATTTGCATTTTACAACCATATTTATAAAATAATAAAAATATTAGATATTTGGGGTTCGGGCGATGCGATAATAATTTAATTAAACAAATTGACTTAATGGCAGTTGTATGACAAAACAGTCATTCATTTCATGTACATACATATGTATATAGATATGCATATTTTATAACGCGCTTTATGATTCCAGAATTTTCTAAAAAAAAATTGGTGTTTTCTTATTAAATACATTTTCATAGAGATTTGTATTTAGTTGAACAAAAAAAACTAACTCTGGAAATTGAACGTTTTAAACGTGAAATGCGCAAATATTTGTCAATGTCGACAAATAAAAGTTAATGTAATTAAAACAAATGATCTGGTTGGTTAATTATCTATGTCTGATAGGCGAGTTAACTTTTGCAAACTAATAAAATGTGTCTGTAACACAATTTTTTTCACACCATCTAAATTATAATAACAGATAAACAAATTGTATTTGTTTAGATTTTATTGAAAGTAAAATTATATTTTTTATTAGATGACAGATGGCAAATATCTGTTGTTTTATTATATTTCACGTGGATAGGAAGTGTGGCTTTAGAGAACGTGTTGTGTTATGAAAGTAGTTCAATATAGTGGATATCTATGAATCATTTTAAATATCAAATGACAATTTTTATTTTCACCCGTACAAATTAATCAATTTTATGTATTGTATTAAATGTTTACTGATCTGAATTTGTGCTGAGAAAAAAATTCCACAACTTTCGTATTGCTCTGAAAATTGAAAAAAATATATCTTTTTTTTAAGTGAAATATCTCATCTTTATACAATTTATACACTATGCAAGATTATGAACAAAATACTAAATAAATTATTAGGGTGTAGGTGAATTGTGATGATCAAAAATACAGTTTCGCTGGGAAGTTTCATAGAATAATTAGTCAAATGTATCAAACCTAAAATCTCTTTATATTCGAAAGTATATTCAAATCGCCGCTAACGCAACAACTTTTTGTAACCTGGTCCTTGGTCGCTTGCTGTCATAATATTGGGCTCATATGAAGACAACCCCATGCAAAATCGTCGGGAGTACTTATTTGGAGGTTTGGGGATAAGTTATTCCAATTAGTATAATAGAGTTAATTTCCACGTCTACACAAAATTCTATATATATATATATATATATATATATCCAATGTATTTTTATATCCGATTATCGTTGTCTCAAGTGTTTTATCTGTGATAATAGACTGGCTCGTGCCTAGTGTTGTTCTCCATTTCTATCAAGCAGATGGGGGGGCGCCATGTGTTATTTGTTCCGTCTTTTCCTTTTACAGTTGAAATTGCACTGAAACAATGCATTTTCTTAGAACAACAACAGTGCGGACATAATTTATTCAGTTTCATAATTCTTATTCAAAAACAATGCGGCAGTAGGTATTCAGTGAATAGAGTAAACAAATTAGCAATTATTAATAAAACTGTATTAGGTTAGCTTGATATTTTGGTATTTAAGGGAACCCCACCCATTCTCGATTTTAATTTTTCAAGATTTTCAATGGGCTGGTAAATCAATACCAATGCTTGTTAAGGTTTGTAACTTTGCACATATATATTTGAAGATTTAAAAGAGAAGAAAAATAATTTACAAAAATTTTTTGTTATTGTTTTTGTAATTAAAGAAAAGTCCTTATTTTTGATGGCGGGCATGATAACTCCTCACTGGAACATCGGAATCCGAAAATTCCAACGGTGTTAGAAAGAGTAAATGTCTGACTTCGCTCTAAAATTAACAAAATGGTGGATCCTAAAAAAAATATTTTTGGAAAATCGCCGATTTTTTACCAAAAACCAAGTTAAAAAATAAGGAAGATCTTCACCGATTGGCTTTATCCTAGTTCATACGATAGCTATACACTCACAGAGAAACGTGTAAAAACTTGAAATCGATTGGGTTAATAGTTTTTGAGTTATCGTGACCGCCATTCACAAAAAAATGTTTAGAGAAAAACGCGTTTCAAGTTTGAGAAGCCCTTCAGCCGTCACCTGATGCTGACACAATAAATCGGCTATATCTTCAAGAGTTCTTGAGATTTTCACTTGAAATTTTGTAGGGACATTTATTAATTAGTGTAGATTCGAATTATATCAACAAAATTTTTGACCCCGAGAATGGGGGGGTCCCCTTAAAGGAGATTTTTTTTTGTAGAGAAAAATTAGTGAATATTTATTTTCCATAAATCTTTAATGCCCTTAGGATGATTGTATGATAATTGAATTGGATATATCGATACATGTTTTGGTATATCTCCAAATAGCAGTACTCACCAATATTCGGGGTACATTTTCAATCAAATTTGTTGTAATGTGTTTATTTTGAAATTCCCCCTACCAAAATTTATCAATGTCGGTCTAATTTTCATGGTAGATCTCAATAACTGTGCCCCTCATTATTAATTTTTTTATTTTGATCAATTTTTTCAGCCGAATGGGTTCTAATTTCATATGCAGGGTTCTAATTGTCAAATCTTTCTAGCAAAAACCCATCGGTATTTTTTTCATATATTGAGAATTTCATTAACTAGTCTACTTTTTTGTAAACGTTAACGGCATCCTCAATGTTCGGTATTTGTAAGGATTTTTATTTCCGGTATCTTCTCATTGCAGGAATTTACCATATATAAATTTATCACCATATAAATGCCCCTATCAATTTCGGATATTTTTAATATCTATACCAAGATGAATGCTATAAAAGGTTTATATTGGACGAACTTAACAACGTTAAGAGGAAGCTTTTCTCGGGACTTTTGAAAAATTCGATATATCTGAAATCGTTATGTTATAGCCCCCATAGAATATTACCCTCCAATTCCGTATTTTGAACAAATTTTCTAATCTAATTGTCTGTAATTTAGTATTTGGGATTCTCATTGGGTAGCAGATATTTGAAACAGGAATTGTCAAAATTGGTCATTTTCCAAATTTCGGCATTTTTGGGAATATTTGACAAGCTTTAACCAAAGTGGCTGAAAATTAGTATTTTGGATCCTCATTGGGAAAATATCCATAACAAACTGATCAATATTGACTTAAGTTTCGATGTAGGCATATGGATATTGACTCTTATTTGATAATTTTGGTTCTCATTAGGGGAGACTGGGGCACCTTCGGCACTTTTTTTTTAGAGCTCTATATCTCAGGACTTATTCAACATATATAACAACTTTATGGCTGATTATTGTCCTCTGACACTTAATTATAAAAAATAGTACCAAAAAGATATAAAAAAATAGTATTAGTTAAAAAATTTTACAGTTTTGTAAAAAAAGTCAAATTCGCCGAATGTGCCCCAACCCGGGGTAGCTTCGGCATTTGATGGGACACATTCGGCACCATAGTTATAGCCGGGTAATTGTCATCGCTTTCAGTCTGGTTGAAATTCTGATCCTATAAAGGCACTATTTGGTTTTAATACGCGACACAATGTTTGGATTTTAGGGCTATATTTTCTAGCGGCGGACGTTGAAATCTCAAAGTCGCACACACCATCAGAAATAGGGGTTTTCTATCGCATTTTCGTTAATACAAGCACGTTTAGTCTTATATATGTAATTTCGAACCATATTAAAGGATTATTTTTAAAGCCAAACTCAAAAACATTTTAAGGAAATAATATTGCACTATCTGTATATGGCCGAATGTGCCCCACTTTAAGATGCCGAATGTACCCCGAATGTACTTTTTATAGTTTTTTTCATTTTTTTCGATCAGTTTTGTAAAAACATTATATTTTTAAATATTTCTATAATAATACACATCGTAGTTAACAACTTTTATATAATATTGTCTTAAAAATTTCA